TCAGATCTGATTCTCAGAAAACAGGTTTATTTTAAGAAGCAGATCAACACCCCCAAGGGATTGTGTATAACAGAAGCCCACAGCTCTGTTCAGGGCCAGGCCGCTCTCGGACAGGCTGGCGCAGCTTCTCTCCCGCTGTCACAGGCCAGGGGCACCAAGGGATTGTGTATAACAGAAGCCCACAGCTCTGTTCGGGGCCAGGCCGCTCTCGGACAGGCTGGCGCAGCTTCTCTCCCGCTGTCACAGGCCAGGGGCACACCCTTCTTCCGCTCTGGTGCTACAAGGAGTGACAATGCTTGTCACCAAAGGAACCTGCTCTCAGGGGAAGTCTCTGTCCCCCCAGGTGTCACTTAGGCCTGCTGAGGGCTCAGAGTGTGGAGACATTTGCAGTAGGTCCCGGGCGCTGCAAAGTCAGGTGGGCAGACTGCGGGGCATTCTCCCTGCAGCTCACTCGTGGGGCAAGGAGGTGACAGCAGAACCCTGCAGACATAGGTGGCTGCGGCAGGTCCATGGCTGTTCTGCAGCAGGTGAATTTGAATCACCCTCACTGGAGGGCAGGATGAGTCTCACCAGGGGTGGGCCGAGCTGGCACCAGCACTGCGTCTCAGTGCTCCTTGTAGGGCGGGCAGAACGCAAGTGCTGCCTGGAAACGTGCCATGTTCTGAGAAAGCTCCCTCGGGACAAAAGTCCACTCCAATGCTCCCTAAAGACTCTGAGGTTGAGGCCTGGTTCCCACCCCTCAGAGGGGGCCAGTTAAGGCTGTGGGGCCACAGAAGCCACTGTTCTCAGCCCCCCAAAAGACTCCTGGCACCACCCCCCCACATGGCCGCAGAAGTCCAATAAGACAAGAGAATTTAAAAAAATAGTTTCTTTATTTGATAAGGATGTTGATGATGATGATAATTATCCTTGAAAACAAACTTCCAAAGAATCATAGGGTTTATTTTTCCTGTGGTTTGGAGACGGGGCACAGAGGAAAGATGTCTGGTCTGCCCCAGGGGAGCAGGCCCCTGGCACTCAGTGGTCACGAGGCTGGGTGGGTCAGACCCATGGCTGAGGACAGCTCCTGGCACTGTGGGAACCTGCTCTCCATTCCTGTTTTCCTTTCCCACAGTTCCGGGTCTGTTCTGATTTATCAGCAAGGGAAAAGGTTTGGGAATAAAAGTAAAGTCGACTCTATGACAATGTCTGGTACTTGCTTTTTCTACAATTGGAAAAGAATTTTCGACTGTAAGAGGCCCAGGACCCCATCGCTGTGCAGATGAGGAATGAGAAGCAGGGAAAGGCGGTGCTGGCCCAGGGGCACCGAGGCATCTGCAGAGCCCAGGAGCCCCCAGGAGCCCGGCTCGCTACTCCCAGCTCTGGCCCGAGGCCTCTCCACCGTGGTGCCATGTGGTGTCACGGTTTCCTTATTCAATTGTACTGAACAGAAGCTGGGGTAAGGGTGGGGAGGTGGGGGGCTTGAGGTAATCACTGACTTGTGCTTTTACACCTAGAATCCCCACATTCTATATTAAAAGGGGAGACTAAAACTCTTTTCCAAGTGAAAATTAACCAATACATAGATGTGAATGCGGATGTTGTCCTGGTTCATTTGGGGGTGCTATAACAGAATACCACAGACTGGGTAGTTTCTAAAGACCAGAAATTTATTTCTCATGGCTCTGGAGGCTGGGAAGTCTGAGATCAAGGCGCTGGCAGATTCGGTGTCTGGTGAGGGCTGCATCCTTTGAAAGGGAGGATCGCTGTGTCCACACAGGCAGAAAGTGGAGGGGCACGTGAGCACTAGCCTAACACAAAGCCTCTTCTGCAAGGGCCTTAATACCATTCTTGAGGGATAAGCCCGTATGGCCCCACATCTTAAAACTATCATATTGGCAACACTTCAATTTTGGAGGGAACACGATTCAAATCATTGCAGATGTTTTGGCTTTTTAGGTGNGACATAGGTGGCTGCGGCAGGTCCATGGCTGTTCTGCAGCAGGTGAATTTGAATCACCCTCACTGGAGGGCAGGATGAGTCTCACCAGGGGTGGGCCGAGCTGGCACCAGCACTGCGTCTCAGTGCTCCTTGTAGGGCGGGCAGAACGCAAGTGCTGCCTGGAAACGTGCCATGTTCTGAGAAAGCTCCCTCGGGACAAAAGTCCACTCCAATGCTCCCTAAAGACTCTGAGGTTGAGGCCTGGTTCCCACCCCTCAGAGGGGGCCAGTTAAGGCTGTGGGGCCACAGAAGCCACTGTTCTCAGCCCCCCAAAAGACTCCTGGCACCACCCCCCCACATGGCCGCAGAAGTCCAATAAGACAAGAGAATTTAAAAAAATAGTTTCTTTATTTGATAAGGATGTTGATGATGATGATAATTATCCTTGAAAACAAACTTCCAAAGAATCATAGGGTTTATTTTTCCTGTGGTTTGGAGACGGGGCACAGAGGAAAGATGTCTGGTCTGCCCCAGGGGAGCAGGCCCCTGGCACTCAGTGGTCACGAGGCTGGGTGGGTCAGACCCATGGCTGAGGACAGCTCCTGGCACTGTGGGAACCTGCTCTCCATTCCTGTTTTCCTTTCCCACAGTTCCGGGTCTGTTCTGATTTATCAGCAAGGGAAAAGGTTTGGGAATAAAAGTAAAGTCGACTCTATGACAATGTCTGGTACTTGCTTTTTCTACAATTGGAAAAGAATTTTCGACTGTAAGAGGCCCGGGACCCCATCGCTGTGCAGATGAGGAATGAGAAGCAGGGAAAGGCGGTGCTGGCCCAGGGGCACCGAGGCATCTGCAGAGCCCAGGAGCCCCCAGGAGCCCGGCTCGCTACTCCCAGCTCTGGCCCGAGGCCTCTCCACCGTGGTGCCATGTGGTGTCACGGTTTCCTTATTCAATTGTACTGAACAGAAGCTGGGGTAAGGGTGGGGAGGTGGGGGGCTTGAGGTAATCACTGACTGTTGTGCTTTTACACCTAGAATCCCCACATTCTATATTAAAAGGGGAGACTGAAACTCTTTTCCAAGTGAAAATTAGCCAATACATAGATGTGAATGCGGATGTTGTCCTGGTTCATTTGGGGTTGCTATAACAGAATACCACAGACTGGGTAGTTTCTAAAGACCAGAAATTTATTTCTCATGGCTGTGCTTTTACACCTAGAATCCCCACATTCTATATTAAAAGGGGAGACTAAAACTCTTTTCCAAGTGAAAATTAACCAATACATAGATGTGAATGCGGATGTTGTCCTGGTTCATTTGGGGGTGCTATAACAGAATACCACAGACTGGGTAGTTTCTAAAGACCAGAAATTTATTTCTCATGGCTCTGGAGGCTGGGAAGTCTGAGATCAAGGCGCTGGCAGATTTGGTGTCTGGTGAGGGCTGCATCCTTTGAAAGGGAGGATCGCTGTGTCCACACAGGCAGAAAGTGGAGGGGCACGTGAGCACTAGCCTAACACAAAGCCTCTTCTGCAAGGGCCTTAATACCATTCTTGAGGGATAAGCCCGTATGGCCCCACATCTTAAAACTATCATATTGGCAACACTTCAATTTTGGAGGGAACACGATTCAAATCATTGCAGATGTTTTGGCTTTTTAGGTGTTTCCTACCCTACTCCACTTATGAGCAAAATCAGAACGAATGAGCATCTACCCAAGCATTGTAATGGATCCTCTCGAAAGACTCATTCGCCTGTCTCCTAGTCCCTATCTCATAATTGGGATATTGGTCTCTAGGGAGAGACCAAGACACTTTCCAGAGGGGAGGATGACAGGAGCCTTGGAGGTGAGAGCTCTGGGACTGGCCTCTCATCCACTCATGGGTGACTTGTCCAGCCAACCATGTCTCAGGCTGCACCCACCAAGCACAAGCCTGGGAAAAGGCGGGGGGCAGGGAGGGTCCTGAGACAGGCTGTCCTCAGGCCAGAGCCGGTTGTGCACTGCAGTCATCCTTCTATTCACAAACGTCAGTGGTGCTTTGCCAACCTCATCCGAACTTTGCCTCTAGTTTCCTTTTAAGCCCCAGGAAAGAGTAGGAGTCACAATCTTACAGGAAACAGACCTGGATTTTCATTACATTTCTCCTGTATGGGGCACTGGACAACAGGCATGTGAGTGCAGCATCCGAGGATGGTGACTTCCATTGCTCCGTCTGAGTAGAAGCCACATGTCAGAGGAGAAAGTACAGATGCTAACAGTGTCTGGATCCCTGAGTCACCTTGGTCAAAGTGTCTACCTTTTGGTCATTTGGATGCTGTAACTGCCACCTGACTGGTCTTCTTTGCCCCAGTTTTCCCTTCTCTGTCTCTCCTTCACACAGAGGCCAACTTTATCTTACCCTGATCAAAAGGCGTCCCTGCTGGTCCCCCACTGCTCAGCAGTGCAGCTCCTCACCCCGGAACTGCAGTCCCTCCATCCCTCTGGCCCACCACCCCCACCAAGCCACCTTGCTTAGAGTCCCCGAGCTTCCCATTTCTCTTCTCAGCCTTCCCTCCTGCCTGCCATTTTCAGAGTAGTTCCCTCACCTAGATTGCCACCCTCTTCCACCTGCCAAAATCCAGGCATCAAAGCTCACCCCAAATGTCCCCCGAAGTCTAACAGTGTCATTATCCAGATGGTGATGGTGGTGAGGAGGATGTTGGTGTGTAATGGTTATCGTCACATGCCTGGTCATGCGTTACATGCATGGATTTTCTCACTTCACTACAAGGCGGGTGGTGGTATTATTCCTATTTTACAAAGAAAAAGAAAACACTGAGGCACAAAGAGGTGACATGGCACTTTACTCCACCGTGTATTGCAGTAACTTGTATCCATTTTGCATCTCCCCTCGTAGGTCTTGGGAGCAGGGCCAGGGTCCTGGTCACCTTCTTATGCACCACCCTGCACAGTGCATGCCTGACACATGACGCCACTCAGTGCATTGGGCGTCATTTCAGGGGGACACAAGAACTCAGCTGCTCATTGTGTTTCCTTGCAATCTTCTTCTCACCATGTGACTTGGCTTTACATTCCATAGATCAAGTCTAAGGTGAACGGAGGGGACCCATCTGCCCCGGCAGAAGGGAGCATCATGCAGGTTCCTGAGGGGGACGGGGAAGAAGAGGGAATCCCGTCTCTTTATGGGATGGGGGCAGTCCTCCAAGTGTCCATCGGTGACCCAGGGCAGCTCCAGTTCCTCAAGCCTGGGCAGGACTGGCCACAGTTCTGATGGGTGGATTAGGCAGAAGAAAATGAAAGGTTTGGAATTTATAACTCTGGGGCATCACAGCATGAATACTAGAGACTCAGGGCTGATTAAAGGACCACCAGGCAGAATCAGGACTGTCTAACCTTATTAGCTCTACCCCGGAGGGGAGGAAGGCTGCTCTCTCTCTGTGCCCCCTGCTTTGTCATGGAGAGGACAGACCGAGCCGTGGCTTCCCAGGGTGGGGCCCAGGCCTGCATTCCACCTGGCAGTGGGATCAGCATTCTCAGGATCACAGAAACCGAGAGACTAACTTGGTGTTGACACTTATAAGCCAAGTGATTTCCGGCAAGGACTTACTGGTTCTGAGCCCGTTTCCACCTCTGTTAACTTGAAATAACAGACCTCCGTTTTGTGGTTGATGTCAGGACTAGACATGTCGGTGTACACAGACCATGGGCACAGGGTCCAGCCTCGGAGCACAGGGAAGGGAGAAGTTAGAGCCACATCTCAGGCCCCCACGATGGACACTGCCCTGCTGACATGGGGTGCTTCTCCACTGTGAAGGCATCAGGCTTCGGGGCCCCTGTAGGCCCCGCAGTGCCCAGCAAGCTTTCCCTCAGCACCAGGGGAAGCCTGTCTGAAGAGGGCCGAAAGCCACATTTGTATTGCCCCTGGACAGCCCTTCACATGGCTTCAAAGAACAGGATATTGTTCTGTTCCTGATACTCCATAATAAGAAATGATATATTTTGGTAGTTCTTTGATTTTGTGGGTTCTTAGTGTGCCTGAGCTAGAATTTTGGAGAACATGACTATCATTTGGGGCTTGTGGTTAAGTACAAGTCAGACACTGGACGTAATTCACCACCACTCTGTATTCTCGGGTCTTCCACGTGTCCCCCATCACGAAGGTTTTCTTAGGGTGTTCTGTTTCTTTCCTTATCTCCATATCCGTCTTATGAATTCAAGCAAAGAATAATCCCACTTCAAAAATTGCTCTAAGAAGTTTTAATTTGATTGGTCACCTGAGCTCAGCTAAACCCAAACCCTCAATCTACAAGGGAGGAAAACGAAGGTTGAAAGAGATTAAGTAACATGTTGAGATAATTACAGAGGGTGAGTGGCAGATCCAGAGGAGAAAACAAGTCCACGTGTTCCTAGAGCACAGTCTTTCCTCGAATCGTGTTTCCCATCGTCCTATATTCATGTCCACCTACATCCATGATGTTTCTTATATCCGTATACTTCCCATACTGTGACTTATTCAATACTTTTTCTTCAAATTGATTCACATTTTTATTTGATTAAGTTTATTTTAAAAGGAAATTTTATATCACTACTTTAATGGAAAAGCAGTATCACTTGCCACTAATAGGAATTTACAACTAAAGACAATGCAAAATATAATTATATGAAATTCTAACTAGATATTGTTGCCTGGGCATAGAAAACAAGCTGGAAGTCTATTCTCTTCAATTATAAAGGACAATTGGTAAGTTTCAGAGGTATTAAACAACTAATAGGACTAAGCTAAAATTGATTCTGGACCTGATTTCAGTACTATCTAATGACATCTTTATATCACTGAGAATTTTTCTCCAATAAAATCAGTCATATATTCTCACATTTTGAGACTGCTGCAGTCCACAATGCTGCCACACAAAATCCCTATGTCTCCTTAAAGGTAAGCAGACTCCTCCCTTCTCCCTGCGCAGCAAGCCCCGTCAAAGGTATTACACTAGAAAAGCTTCGTGGACATTTTATTTACTGACCAAATGCCCCACGAATGCCTGACTCTCCTTCATTTTCATAAATTTTTGTAAATTTTCTGACAGACTATTTTGGTCACCCCAGAAACAATGTCAAGATAATTAAATTTTAGATAATAAATCAGGGAAGTTGATCTCAGCAGTGGAAAATGCTGTGATTTAAATTGCCAATATACAGATACTTTTAGTTCTTGGAAGCCACTGCCAACTGTGCCTGCCGGAAGTTAAATTCGCAATAGCTTGCTATGATTGATGCAGGCATTAGTCATTTATAAAAAAAAAAAAAAATCTTGAACTAAGTAATTTGCATCGAAAAGATGACATCAATAACACCACAAGCCTGTTGTTTGGAGAACTGACCACTAGATGGAGCACTTGCAATTCAAAAATTTTTAAAAATCAGTCTCTGAGGTAAAAGCATTTCACCTAAGGATCTATTGTACTTACAAACCTGCATCTACACAAGCGAGAAGGCACCACTGGCCCTGAAGATGGTATTCTTTTCTTTCCTTCCCGACTTTGATATGCCTCTCCCTTTTTCCTCAGGACAGGTCACTTCTCCCCACAGGCAGTGTGTCTGTGTCAGTCACCTTTTAAAACTTCTAGCGTGTCATTATTCTATTTCTAGCCCTGTGACCAAGTAGAAAAATGTGTTCCTTAAGATGTGGTTTCTTTCTTCCCTCTGCCTTGACAGTACTCACTCCTGAACACTACAGCACCACATCTTCAGGTCTCATTCCTGGATGCTAATTTAATGCAGCCCGCAAAAGCACCTTGATTTGTAAGACATTTGTTCTCCGTGAATTACACACCACCTTTATTCTCCCCTGCGATGACAGCAATAAATCTTCTTTAAATTTCTGTTTTGTTTTAAAGGAAGTCCATATCAATGGAGTGGTTGTTCTTGTACCGACTCTTTAAATATGGCCGTAATGAGGTATGTAAGCCCAGTTCTCAGAGTGAGGACAGGAAGCAGGAGTGACACTTCCATGCAATAGGGTCGAAAACAATACAAGACACTGAGACCACTGCAGCAAACCCGTGAGTTTATTTGCAGGTTCTAACCCAGGGCTATCCCTTTCCCCCATGGCTAATGGGTTGTGTGTGTGCATGTGCGTGTGTATTGGTGCGGCATAAATGGCAGGGGTAGGGTAGAACTGAAACAGTTACTTATTTTCTTTCTACACAAATAAGTATGTCCACAAAATCAAGCACAAAAAAGCCTCTTTGTGGCTGGGGTTTCCTGGCTGCAGCCCCAGACCCTAAGAACCCAAAGCTCTATTCCCATGTGGCCTCTCCTAATTTGCTAAATAACCTTGGGCAAGTCACTTAACCTTCCCAAGCCTCAGCTTCTCCATTTATATAGGAGGGTGCAGAGAGCTGTCTCTTCCCCGCTTCTTTGGGAAGTTGTGAGGATTAATGATGAGAGAAAGGCAGGCAAGGGTCTGGAGTTTCTTTCAGAAAGGTACTGCTTACCCTTGGATGAGAGTCATAAAAATAAACAGAATAAGTACACACCAGCAATCCAGGCCAAAGTCGCAAGGGCTCTGTATCCTGTGGGTTTTCACATTTTCTATTCTTCAAAGAAGGTTGGCAGAAACAAAACAAAAATATCTAATAAAGCCTTTGTTTGACAAAATTCTCACTGGATTTTTACCTGATTAGTCTGTGTCTATAGATGAAATGATTTTAAATGTCCTGAAAGAACTGAAAGGGAAAAAAACGACTCTGCCCAAAGACGCCGGGTGTTCCTGCCTTGCACAGAGAGGAGGGAACTCCTCTGACAATTAGCCTTCTATTTTGGTGACAGTAATTATCACCATTAGGGGCTTTGCTTTTCCTCTTATGATGAAATATATATTCATGCTGCAGAGGCCCGATCTGAGGACTATTTGGGCAGAACCCAAAATGCAAGGAGAGGATCGATTTTAACCTATTTTAAAACATTTGATCTAATTTGATATTTCTAGTTTTCAACGGCTTACAGCAAATAGATGAAAATAAATGTCTTGTCACATGTTGTGCTGCAGACTATGCCTTTTGGTTTTCAAAGACTCCTGAAAACAGGAGGAGAATCCTCTATGAGCTGCATCTGATGCCTCAGGATTTTCCAGCTGTCATTGTTCAAAGGTCTATTTTTTGGAGCCTTGTGGAATGACCAAGTGGATTATTTGCTCTAGAATTCTGTAAGTGATCTGCTTCTCAGAGCCCTTTGGCTATAATAAAAAAAGGGATCTGGCAGAGGGAGGGTGGTAGGTCCTCTAAAGTATTTATGGTGTGTGTATGCATTTTTGTGTATATTTTAAGGACAGACATCTAATTCTGATATCTGTAGAGAGGAAAAAACAATAAATAATCATGGATTGTGTGGCTGCTTGCTTTCTTTTCTGAAGTCTAATTACTGTAGTGGCCCACTGCCTTGATTAAGGCTTTCCTCCTTAAATAATTAATTCGCCTTTATGCAAGTGTATCTGCCTCTTACAAATCTTAACACATAACACTGAGGACCCAGGCTCAGCAAACCCACTTTCAAGCACATAAATAATTGCCTTGGAATTAACTATTAACCTTGGTAAAAGAGGGCTAAACATTAGTATACTGTATTAATTCAAAACAGGTATTAGCTGTTTGGTGTTAGAAAATATTATAAACACATATACATTTATAAATCTACATGGCTGATGAGTTTAGTTAGTTGGAATATGTTAATGAGTCCAAAGGAATAGTTTCAACGTACATATTGAAGCAAATTGCTTCAATGTATTTCACAAACTTTTGTGCCAACCAGACTTTTTTTTTTTAATGAAGACCCTGGAAGCAAGAAGAACTGGAATTGAGTGTATAAATGGCTTATGAGGGAACCTCACCCACCTGTAGCAAAATCTCACCACACATGACCTATGACAGTGGGTAGGTGACATCTTTTTGCATATGTCAAGAATTTGAGTGTTGAATACACAGAAGCTCAAGCCCATTCACTGAGCTGCTTGATTCATGGTGAGCAGGGTTTTAGGTAAAGAGAAATTAATAGAAATCCTCGGTTTCCTATGTCTGTCTCTCTTCACTACCGTTCTCACTGGGTAAGAGAATGTTAGAACGCCACAGGCACCCGCATCACTTTGCAGTGAGGGAACTGAGGCCTAGACAGCATTCTCTCTTCATTGCTCCCAGTCCCATCTGTGCCCTATATTCAGATGTGACCACGTTCCCTTTCCACGCAGCCGAGGGGGCTTGGGATGGAGTGGGACAGGGC